TGAGGATAGAAGAAAAGTTTACTGTGTCACCTCCTCCTTGCCCACGTCGTTGTCATTTCCCCTCTTAACTCTGCGCTAGGGTTGAGGAGATGGCAGCTTCTTGAACTTTCTTTTACATCCTGTGCTGACGCTTTGACTCTACTTTCAGCCTATTAAATTTATTGACCCAAAGTCCCTTAAGCTATTGAAGACTCTCTGACTTAGTATGCTTGAGAGAAGACACTTGTAGCCAGTTAAAGCTCTTTGCTGTCTGCCATATTCCCCATGAATAATTTATTTTATCTATATGTTTGCAAAATAAACAAGCAAACAAAAAAAATCAAATACTCAATCGAAATATGGTATCAGAAAAGAACCACAGCATAAGCTCTCAAAATAGAGCTGCTACAGGATTTATTGTCTTACAGAATTAACTAAAGACTTTAAATGGGGGCAGATTTTCCTTTGGCTGCAGTAAGCTCTTTACTTTTGCTAAAGGAGTCAACACAAGACTTGTTTTCTAGCCACCTTAATACTTCCTTTCTAAAAGAAATCCTGCGGTTTAGAGGATTCATCTCTTTCTGAGTCTGAATATAAAATGGATGAAAAAGGAAATAACAGGAAGGGGGGAGGAACCCAACCTCAGTACAATGTTTCCACAGAATCCTACTTATTTTTTTAACAATGTTTAAGAATAATGGGTCATTATTGTTGAGGACCACTATCACTAGTACCCTTAGTTCTCCAAAAAGTACGTGGGGAAATGATGGATTCTTCTCTCATGGTACACCTGCCTGTATTCTTTCCATTACTAAGGAATGTGAACCTCTCTTTCTCAAATAGTTAGAGATATCCAACAAGAGGCAGATGAGCCAAAATTTTATGGAAATGGGGCAAGCGATTATGAGGCTTGACAATTCGATGAATACTAAAATTATCTGCTCTGTAAACCCTCACCTAATTCACAATAACATTTTTAAAAAGTGATGCTTGACCCCACTGTTTCCATCACTCTGTCTATTCAAAGAGGGGTTTCTTCTTCTTCTTCTTTTTTAACTGAAGCTCACTTTACTTACCGAGAAGTGGTGATCTGTTTTTAATTTTGACAGTTCAAGTTCCTTCCAGTATTCTTCATCAACACAATTCTAATGAATGGATTCCTCTTCAGTCATGCCCACTTTCACATGCGTATAAGGTGATTGAAAATATCATGACTTAAATGACGCATATCTTATTCCTCAGATTAACATCCTTGCTTTTCAAGATTGCAAAGAGGTCTCCTGCAGCAGATGTACCTAACACAATGTGTCCTTTGATCTCTTGATTGCTGCTTGCATGAGCATTGATTGTGGATAGTATCAAGATAAAAATCCTTCACAACTTCAATCTTTTCTCCACTTATGATTTTGTCTATTGGTCCAATTGTAAAGATTAAGTTTTCCTTTTCATTGCATTATAATCCATATTGAAGACTGAAATCTTTGATCTTCATCAGCAAGTGCTCCAAGTCTTTCTCACTCTCTGTAAGCAATATTGTGTTATCTGCATACTGCAGATTGTTAATAAGCCTTCCTCCAATCCTGATGCCACATTCTTCTTCATACAATCCAGCTTCTCTGATGATTTGCTCAGCAGACAGATTAAATAAGTATGGTGAGAGGATTTAACCCTGATACACACCTTTCCTGATTTACAATTTTACAATATTTCTTTGTCCGGTTTGCAGTACCTGCCTCTTGATCCATGTACAAGTTCTTCATGAGCATAATGAAGTGTTCTGGAATTCCAAATCTTCTCAAAGCTATCATAGAGTGTTATGATCCACACAGTGGAATGCCTTTGCATAGCCAATAAAACACATGATCCATCTGACATCAGAAATGATATCCTTTGTTCTATGTCCTCTTCAGCATAGTTCTCTGTCTATAACTGCTGGGACTTTTGTTGGATGATCTTCAGCAACATTTTACTTGCATGTAATATGAATGGTATTGTACTATAATGTGAACACTTTGTTGGGTTACCTTTTGGGGGGGATGAGTACGAATATGAATCTCTTCTAGTCAGTTGGTCAAGTACCTGTCTTGACCAAATTTCCTGGCACAGACGAGCGAGTGCTTCCAGTGCTTCATCGGCGTGTTGAAACATTTCAGTTGGTGTGCCATCAATTCCTGGAGCCTTGTTTTCGGTTAATTCTTTCTGTGTAACTTAGACTTCTTCCTTCAATATCATTGACTCTTGTCATATGCCATGTCCGGAAATGGTGGAATTTTGACTAATTCTTTTCAGTACAGTGGTTCAGTTCTATTTGTTCCATTTTCTTTGGTCCATCCTGCATCATTCAGCATTTTTCCCTACAGAATCTTTCAATATTACAACACAAAGCTTGACGTTTTCTTCAATTCTTTTAGTTTAAGAATATGTTTGGCATTTTCCTCAGTTTTGGTTTTTTACTTGTACATTTCATTGCAATATTTGACTTGGTCATCTTGAGCTGCCTTTTCAAATGTTCTCTTTAGCACTTTGACGACATCATCTTTTCCATGTGTCTCATCTACTCTGTTATTAAAAGCATGTAGCAGTCTCTTCTAATATCTTTGATCTGTTCTTTCTTTCCCATCTTTTAAATTTATGAATGATGTTCTTGATGTCCTCCCACAGTTCAAGTCTTCTGTCATCAGTGTTTAATGCAGCACATCTAATTTTTAGATTTTTTGAAATTCAAGTGGGATATTCTCAAGGTCATATTTTAACTCTAATGGACTTTCATTTTCCTCAGCTCCAACCTGAATTTACAAATGATCAATTAGTGCTCTCTTCCAGTCAGCCGGTAGCCTGCTGATATTGAGTTTTTCCATCATGGCTTTTACATATAATCAATTTTATTTCTGTGCATTTCATCTGCAGACATCTATGTTCTTAGTTGCCTTTTGTGTTGTTGAAAAATGTATTTTTTTTAAGAACAAGTGGTTCTATCATGTAATCTCCATCTTTGTTTCTATCACCAAGATTTGTTTTTCTGTTGTTCTTTCTTCTTTGTTTCCCCCCTTTGCATTCTAATTATCAATAATTATCAGTAAATCTGATTGCATATTTGATCAATTTCAGACTGAATATGTCAGTGGAATTGAAATTCTTGAATTTCTTCATCACTAACAGTAGTGGTTGGTGCATAACATTGAATACTAGTTTTATTCATTGGATTTCCTTGAAGGCAGATAGATACAATCATATAAGAGATGGATTTTTTCTTTAAGATAAATCTTGAAATATTCTATTTGTTGATGATTGGAGCACCATTCCTCTTTATTGTGTCATTCCCAGCATAGCAAATCATATGATTTTCTGATTCAAAATTGTCAATAGCTCATTAGAATGCCTAGAGAGGTGGTCTTTATGCATTCCATTTAATTTTTGAAGACTGTCAAATTTCCTAGATTCAAACTTCATACAGTCCAACTACCAATTATTAATTGATGTGTGCAGCTGTTTCCTCTCATGTTGAGCTGTGCTCCATGAGCAATCAAAGTCCTGAAAGCTTTACTCTCACAGAATTTCTCCATCCATGTCACAGAGGTCACCTCCACTTTGAGAAGCAGCTCGCTTGCAGTCATATTTTGAGTGCCTTCTGACCCAAGGGGCTCATTTACAGACATGATCTAACACAGTTTTCTGCTCCTTTTAGGAGGTTTTCATTACCTGACAATGGTTCAATTCGGTCTCTAAGGTTTGCCCTGCATAATTCCTTCTGGGGGTTCATCTGATAATGCTCTGTGTCCATTTATTAGGCCTTCAGTTTGTGACAATGTTTTGATGCTATACAAAAGGTTTTCAATGGATAATTCCTCAAAGTGGACAGCTGATTCTTTCTTCATTGTCTGTTGCTAGCCTGGAAGCACTGGTGAAACCTGTTCATTTTGGGTGATCTTGCTGGCATTTGAAGTACCAATAACATAGCTTTCAGAATCTCAGCAACACACAACAAACTGACCTGTGAGTTGTGGTTCTTTATCATACTTCTATATCATAGTTTGTGGCTACATACATAGTTATATAAAAGTATATAAAGTTATATATTTTTCACACTTTTATACTTTTTGATTGGTCTTCTTGCCATGTAGGTGCAGAAGAGAAGGTATAGCAACGCTTGTCTTCTCTGGCCAACTTGATTATTGGTGAATCTGAACTGTGTTTTCAACTTTATTTTTACTGCTCATCTGTTAATTTTCCCTACTGTGGTGGCTTGGGTGTCGCTCTGCTGCTGGAAACGATGCCTCTGGTATTTCCAAAGCAGAAGGGTCTCCCAGTGGGTGTTAGTGGAATTTCCACAGTAAGAGAGAGTAGGAAGAAGGGACTGATGAACACCTGACGAGCAGCAGCAGAGCGTTATCTGAGCGAGTGCTAGAAGATGAGCCGAGCCCTCCTGGGTAAAAGACAGTCCAAATAGGATTGGGGATCAGCTACTTCTGCAATGTAGAGTCAACTTTAATGACTCCATGTGGAGGGAGCAAAGCTTCTGGAACCTTCATTACCTGATGGAGCAAAACTCAAAAATGAGAAGAAACAGAGGCAAGGATTCATTAATAATCAGAACATAGAATGTATCAAATATGAATCTAGGAAACTTAGAAGTTATAAAAAATAAAATGGAGCACATAATAATTGATATCCTAGGCATCAGTGAGCTAAAATCATCTGACATTTGCCATTCTGAATCCATCCGTTATGTGGGCTACTATGCTGGGAATGGCTAGTGGAAGGCTAATGCCCTCACATTTATCATTGAAAAGAACACTTCAAGATCTTATCTGAAGTACAAGTCAATGATAGAATGGTATTCACCTGCTTATAGGGAAGCCTGCCTAATATGACTATATTCAAATGTGCACACCAACAAAGAATGTCAAAGATAAAGTTTTTACTGATTTATGGCTATGCAAAGACTTTTGCCTGTGTGGTTCATAACCAGTTGTGGGTAACACTGTGAACAATGGGAATTCTAGAAAATGTGATTGTGTGCCTGGATTTGGATTTATGGGAGGTCCGACCCCATGGGCCTCTCAGAGTGTCCCATAGCAGAGCAAACTGTAACCCCCAAACCATGGCTGGCATTACTCCATGGGTTTCAGACACTGAAGTGGTGGCACAGTGGAAAAAATAAAAAGGAAAAAGAAAATTTAATTGTGTTTATGGTTAATTTATATATATATGTATATATATGTGTGTGTGTGTGTGTGTGTATATATATATCAAGGGGTAGTAGTTACAATTAACCAAGGAGATATTGCCTGGTTTAAATTTTGCAAAGATATGTATAATACTTTCATAATATTATACTGAGTAAATAATTTGACAACATGGAGTATATGAAGAATGTGTCACCAGGATTACAGTAAGTCTCTCAACATCAGTATTACAGTAAGTCTCAACATCAGGATTACAGTAAGTCTCTGTGATCTGCAGATGAGACAATGATGCTAGCTCAAAGTCATGAGGATTTGGAGCACTTACTGATGATCAAAGGCAACAGGCTTGGTGTGGATCACATGTCAAAATAAAGAAAACAAAAACCCCTCACAATGGGCCCACTAAATAAAATGGCAATAAACACACAAAATGTTGAAGTTGTCAGGGAATTATTTTACTGGAATCTTCTATCAAGGTGCTGGAAGCAACAGTCTGGAATTAAACAATATGCTGTATCGGGCAAATCTATTGCAACCGACCTTTTTAAAGTGTCGAAAAGGAAAGATACCACTTTGAAGACTAAGGTCCACGTGACCTATGCCCTGGTATTTTCAGTTGCCTCATATCCACATGAGAATTGGACAATGAATAATGAAGACCAGATAATAAGGAATGCCTTCGACCTATGCTGTAGACAAAGACTATTGACTAGAACATGGATTGCCAGAACAATGAGCAGCTCTGTCTTAGAAGAAGTACAGCCAGAATGTTCCTATCAGATATTTTTGGACATGAGCCATCAGCTCATCAGTGAAATCAGTCCCTGGAGAAAGGCAGCCACCCAGTGTAGCAAACACATATTTTTATTCCTTTTTTAAAATGCTGATCTTCACATCAGCATATTCTAAACACCCATAGTAAAGTTCATTTCACCCATACATATAACATTTAGTAAGAATTATCTTTGTGATACTTATTTATTCATTTCATAAAACTTATTATACTTCTGATGAAACACTACATTTTGATTCCCTTGCTATTTCAGTGAACAAACATATAACCTCAAGAGAAAAAGTGCCCCACAGCCAGAGTGACACACTGTCGTTCATTTTCATTATGTTATTCCTCAAATCACCACGAGATGATACTAAGAGTGAATTATGTTATTTTTGAAAGTATTCAAAGTGCTAAACATATTGTCAGAACTATTCCTCTAAGTTCAGAAGAAGTAGAAAGGGATTTTTCAAAGTTGAACATAATATGTTCAGAGAAGAGAAGTTGCCTTACTGTTTGTACTATGTCAAACACAATGTTTCTTTTCTAATTGGCCTGCTTCCAAGGAATTGGAATCCCACTCTAAAGTGAAAAGATTATAGATAAATGACGCAGCCAATGATGCTCTGATAAAATAATAATAAAAGCAAATAATATTGCAAATGAGGACATCAATAAAGAAGCAATGTGGAAATATCTTAATAGTTTTACTATTTTTTCAGATATTATTAAATATTTTTTCATTAATATTTTAAAACTTCCTTATAATTTAGTTTTGTGTACCTCTTTTATGGTTCTTATTTAAGCATTAACTGTATGAAACGATAAATTACATTTCATATATCATAAACAATAAATTATATTTCATATATCATTCATATATGCAATTACATTTCATATATCATTTTACAATGGACAATAGGGTCGTGAAATGATTGTTAAATTATTTGAATCTTACCACATTATGTTTGTTAGGGAAATGACCAGTGAAAAATCAGAAAAATCTCAACATGATGGATTGACATAGAACTCACCCACTAAGCTCCCCTTCATAGCAGTGAAGATGAGGGTGTTGCAGAACTAAGTCGTTTTTGCTCTGTTGTACATCAGGTCTCTACAAGTAAGAACTGGCTCACCAGCATCCAGAACACACAACCTATATCTTTATTTTATTCTATTTAGTTTAAAAATCATTTTATTTGGGGGCTTGTTCAACAATTTCTTTTCTAATTGGCCTGCTTCTAAGGAATTGGAATCCCACTCTAAAGTGAAAAGATTATAGATAAATGACGCACAATTATAGATAAATTACCACAATCCACATATATACCCATTGTGTCAAGTACATTTGTACATTTATTTCCTTCATCATTTTCAAAACACTTTCTTTCTACTTCAGCCCTTGGTATCAAGCGCCTCATTTTTCTACTCCCTCCCCAATCCCCCCTCCCTGATGATCCCTTGATAATTTAAAATTATTATTATTTTGCCATATCTTTGCCACACTGCCCAACATATCCCTTCTATGTCTACATCGAGAGATAGATTTATTGATCTACTTATGACAAGGAATTAGCTCATGCAATTGTGGGGCTGGTAAATTTCAAATTCATAAGTTAGGCAATAGGGCTACATCCTCCTTCAGATTTGTATTCTAAAATCTGTAGTTTACACTGTAAGTTGAGAGAATAGGAAGTATGTTCTGGTAAAATATGTCTATGTCTCTGGGTGGTCCAAATGGTTTGCATTGCCCTGCTAATCTAAAGACTGAAGGTTTAAACCCATACAGTAACATCACGAAGGTAAGGCTTAGTGACACCCTCTCCTAAATATTGTAAGTAATAAAGTCCCATGGAACAGTTCTACTCTGTAGCACTTGGGTCAACATGAATTAGAATAGACTTAATGACAACAACAAAAGTAAATTACTTTATAACAGCAACTAGAATAGCCATATTTTTAACAACTCATCACCATAGCCTAACCAAGTTGATGAATAAAATCAAACATCCCAAGTAACTTGTTTCCTTCAATTCATCATTTCTTCTTTATTTCCTTCCTTCCCCTTCTCGTTTCATAAATTTTAAGTGTGGCTCCACTATGCACATCATTTTCAGTTAGGCATCAGTTGGGATTGTAGCCACAAACCAAATTTATAAGATTGGTTCACATAAATAAATAGGTTAACAATGATAAAAGCAGGAAGAAAAAGACAAAGCAAGTTGGCTTAATGATGTCAACACAGATTTTCTCTCACTACATGAATTTCTTATAATATGACATTTTAGGTAAATCTGGAAAGATGAATTGTAATTTTTCAGAGTAAGAAATTTGTGGGTGAAGAACTTTGCCATTAACAGGTCTAGCAGGCATTATTGCAGGAAACAGTGTGATTTAGAAAGTAATTTTAACAAGGGCCCTGCGTCTAGCGTGTCAGAAGCAAAGTAGAAAATGGCATGAGTGGAATTTCCAGGTAAAGAACAGGGCACCCAGTTATATTTGAATTTCAGATAAATAGCAGATATTTATGGGACACACAGATTGTCCAAAAGTCTAGGCATGGCACAAGAATGGAGAGGAAGGGAGAAAACTTGATGAAGAAAGAAGTTGGAAATTGTTTTAACAGCTTTCGTTTCAGAGATCAATTAGAATGAATTTGAACAGATGAAAGATGTGATCCAATTTATTTTTTGTAATTTTCCCTTTGAGGCTCTGTGGAACATAGCCTAGAAGGGTAACCTTGGAAGCAGGAAGACAACGATGAGGTTATTGAAGTAGTTCAAGCTTCGGACTAGGGCAATAAAAAACCAAAATGCCAAACTCACTCCCTTTGAGTCAATGCTGACTCGTTGAAACCCTACAGGACAGAGTAGACCTCCCTCTGTGAGCTTCTGAGACTGTAACTATGCAGTAGAAAGCCTCATCTTTCTCCTGATGGCTCTGATAATAGTGGTCTCCAAAAAAGTGATAAGTCACTTGTTAGTCATGGGAATTGAGTTACTGGGACTTGGATGAGTGGTAGAAGGGAAATGAAGCTATGTGAGATGACTCCAAGGGATGGAAACACCGCATACTAAAATGTGGAGCCCTGGCACTGTCATAGTTAAGCACTGGATTGCTAACCGGAAGGTCTGCAGATCGAAACTCACTGGTGTCTCCACAAGAGAAGGACCTGGAAATCTATCTCCGCAAAGTTTATAGCCAAGAAAACCCTTTGGGGCAGTTCTGCTGTTTAATAGGGTCCCTGTGCATCAGAATCGGCTCAACAGCACAACAAGATTCAAAACCATGGATAAGCCAATCTTTGGGGAATAATTTTTAAAGCTTATATTTGTCCATGTTTAATTTGGGACATTTGTAAGCTATTCAAGTATAGAAGTCAAGTTGGCAGATGGAAATATAGGTCTGTAACTGAGAAAAGAGCTGTGGGCTAAAAATGTAAGAAATGTGTTCAGGCAAGTTATATGCTACCAGAAAGAACAGAATCTATTGCTTTTTTTTCCTTTGGCTTGTTTTAAAACACACTCATTTTTGTTCATTCTGATTTCATACCTTATTCTGATGAACATTAGGGAGTTTATCAGGTTTAATTCATAAAATATTTAAAGAAACATTTCCCAAGGCAAGTTACTATACAAATGACCACTTATTATCTTTTGTTTTTTATTCCTTCCCATGTCCGAAGGCAATCACCTGAAGCATGCCTACATGGAGTCCTCAATTGACCATCCCATCTTCCCCGCCTTCTGTACTTCCAGTGCCTCAGGCTGATGATTCCCGAGGTGGAAGCTAGGCTTCTTGGGAGAGAATGGAGGAGGGACGTGTTCTATTTTTGCAAGACTTTTCAGTCTGCAGGTCAGAGATGATTAGAGAGTCAATGAGCAGGAAGAATTTGAGAGTAATTTCAGGTGCCTAATTGTCAGGATTTGAACACTGATTGAAAATGAGCTATAAGAACAATGAATGACATGCTTTCTGTTCCATGCATTCTAGAGCTGAAACAAAAAAGGATTTCTGAAAGAAAAAAAAATGTAACACTCACCCAAGCAAAGGGGCTGGATTAATAAAATAAAATTTAGCAGAGTTAAAATGTAGGAATTTAGAAGGTATTGGATACCACTGCTGGATCCAGACTTAGGGAAGCCCACATGCCTCCTCATCTAATCTACATTGAAAAAAGGCTAGTCATT